AGCACACCGTCCCGTTTACCGCTATTAATTTAGAATTAAGGCACTTACCTTATCGTGCACTACTTTGCAAGTGCTTTTATGTGATACCCATATATGGCTGGTATTGTGCTCAAAAAATTAATCTTCCACGTTGTAACGTCCACGATATTTAATGCGGAACTAAGACTCTTTTTCGCACACCGTAGTCTTCTCTAAGTCATTTTATTTGATACCCATACCGACAGTATTATGATAAAAAAATTAATTCGCCGCATTCGTGACGTCTATCATATTTATTTTAGAATTAACACATTTTTAGGCCGATAATATATTTTTAATTTGAAGAATGTACAAAAGAAGTTTAAACATTCTGTCTTATCTGCCTTGTGATTAAGGAGCATGAAACCATAAAAAAGTGAAAGTAAGAATGTTTAATCTTTTATAACTTTATGTGGGTACAAGCGACTTTTTTTTATTTTTGGACATAAATAGAAGACATTTCTAGAAAGTAAATGTGGAACATTTGAGCCTTCTATCTTTCATAACTTGTGAATAGTGATCAAACACTTGGAAAAAAGCAGAATTGCGTTCACAATATGCTTTACGCGTGCTCTTGCTACTTTGGCTCATTGTCAGTACCAACCCGCGTGCAGAAACTTTCAAGGTCTATACTTTCATTTTTGCGATCAGGCGCGAGTGTACAACACATACCACACAGGCACACAGACAGCTAGACATAGCTTAGTCGATTCAAAATTTGATGCTGAACAAGGATATGTACATTATACGGTCTTTGAAGCTTTCTTTTGGATATTGCCAACCTTATCCTCGGCATCTTTCGCTGGTGGATATAAAAATGTTTTATTCCTCTTAAACCAGACCTGAATCCTTTATCCATAAAATTTGCTGCTCTTCAATTCATTGTCTAGATCTGTAATCTAGTCGAAGTGAGCAGAGTCAGATGAGTAATGTATTTCAACGTGGACAGGTCATAACACAACAGACAGTTGATGTACATCAACGCAAAACTGTTAGAAGCAAAAAGGAATTCAAGTAAGAGAACTTCGTTTAAGTGATTTCTCAACTAGACTGTACTTGCTTTTGTTTTGTGGCTGACTGTATCTTTTATTGACCGATTTCTTATGCCATTGGCAATGAATTGAGCAGAATAATAGAAATTTAAAAGGCGCACTAATTGAAGTTCAATATATCGTTTGCTTTCGTGATGAACGTAAATGCAGGCGGACTTACATGATTTTGTCATGTTAACATAACAAGTAAATTAAGAATGTTTTAATTGCAGCTATTCATGACGAAGAGAACATTTTATGTAAGGTGCTAAATTAGTAAAATTTGTTTACATTTGCATATAATGGATATTATCTTAATATATGAACATTAGGATGGATTTGTCTCTAATATGCGAAGCTTCTTTATTGGGAGATTTTAACTCATTGTTCAATAATTCTTATCGTCTCTAACAAAAACTTGATATCATATATAGAAAGTGCACACATTAAATGACACCTGTCAAAATTTCAGGTCACTTAGATCATTTCTTTACGTATTACAGCGGTTTGGGTGAACACTCTTTTTTTTTCAAATATTTTGTGTTCATTAAACAATGTTTCTTAAAGGAATAAATACCAACTCAAATGCAAGATGGACTTGTGGAGAAGTGGAATGACAGCCCCTCTAGACATCAATGATGTCAAAAAACAAATAAAACTGTTGTAGTTCACCACGGCCCACCCTACATCACTTCGCTTAATACAATTCTTCATATGACGACTTTTCCAAATAAGGCGTTATACGGGAAGAGGTCAAAAAAGCGATCCGGTCTGAATGATTTTCAATCGATTTCGTTCTTTGATCGAACCACGGCATTGCAACAAATTTCATCAAAATATCTCACAAATTACGGCCTGTGGGTTGAATACAAGGATACAAGACAGACAGATGGACAAACACGCTTATATCGATCCACAATTATTTTTTGATTCGATATATAAAACTGAGCCTATCTTAACTTCTTCTAGGCGTAGTATACATCTAAGTAGTGTAGTGTATAAAAATTATTCTTGATGATTGGAAAATGAAGTTTCCACAGAAAGATGGCATTCTTATGATAACAAAAGGTAGTATGCTCACTATCTTGCACCAAAGTTAAGGCAGGGAAGAGACGTTTTACAAATGCGTACCAAGTTTGTTCATGGTGCAATAATACCCCGAGTCGCAAGTCGAATTGATGTTCCAGTTGCCGTCAGAGTCAAAGAATTTTGCGAATCTGGTCTCCGGCGGGTACAATGTGTTTGCAAATCTCATTAGGATGCTCCAGGAAACAAAGTTTGAATTAAATCTTGAGGTCATCCCAGAAAGTGAAATTAAAATATTGAAGGAGCTTTGAATTGCTTCTCTTGAAGGAGACGAGGTTCATCAATGAAATTGAACTTACGAAGAAAAAATCATAGAAACTAGTGACTCATATATTAAGTTGGCTGCCCATTGCCCGTTATTAAATTCGTCATAATACGAAACATTGAGCACAAACTTCGCACATAAATTAAGGCTAGTACAATATGCTGCACTGTAGCTGTATAAAAATCCACAGAGCATTTTACAGATATCGACATTAGCGTCAATGCAAACAAATGCTAAGCTAAGAAGGCAGATATCTATTGAAGGTGATATGGTTGCTTAACTCCTACACGTCCGTTTTCATAGTTTGCCATAAAAAATTGATAATTTAATATTTTCCTTATGTTTTTACCACCAAATCAGTCTATCCACGAGGGTATTTAATTTCTCTTTAGGACATTCCTCCTTTCTTCTGTTAATAATTTTGTTTGGTTATTTTAGTTCGAAATTATATTGAACACGACTTTACCAAATTGTTTAGTTTGTTATTTTTTCATTAAATATTTATATTATGGTTATGAGATTCAGATTCACTACTCTTTAATTAATTGTACAGGGAAAATACCTGCATTTAATGCATTTAATGATTTGAAAAGCAATTAATATAAAATATAAACTTTAGAGAAGTGTTCACGTTAAGTCAATACTTCATAGAGATTCACATCTCGGCTTAATTTTCATTATCATACGTTTGAGAAACCGCTTAACATCACATTTAAACGTCATAAAAATTATAAAATAAACACATAAAAAAAAAAAAAGAAAAGCAAACGAAACAAAAATAGTTACAAGTCATTGCAACGAAAACTTTCCAAAAGCACGCAGATGGTTTGCCTATGTAGGGCTGTTGGAAAAATCATGCCGCAAATAACATTGTTTCTCGCGTGCTAAACGAAGTGCTACATTGTCGCATCAACTCGTTGAATGATGCGTTGCATGAAACAAAAAGAAAGAAAAAAAAAAAAAAGACAAATTCGTGCATTTTCTCACGTTTTTTTAGAACAAATGGGTTTAAGACATTTCTCGATATTGAAGGTTTTTGGAAAGCTCAGACTACGCCACTTTGCCGTGTCGTGTGACATTGCGTTTGTACGCGCTTTGCTTGCAAATCATTTCATAGCCCATCACTATTAACTTTAGCAAGTAAGAACATTATAGTCAAGACCCACCATTAAATACCCTACGCCGAATTGTCTAACAGAATTCTTATTTTTACTGTAGGACAAAAAATTATATTTTGTTTCTATGTAAAGGCATATTTTTCATGTGCGGGCCCAAAACGCAAACTAATGTTGCACAAGTTTGATCCTTACATAGGGCAAGATCCAAAAATAAAATAGGTAGTCCAAATTTTGTGGAGTTCACTTTGCATGAAATTACTATTATGGGTTAATTTTTATCACCACATCTTCACAACTTCAGTTTTCGTTGTAAGAGAGGGGGTTCAAAAATTGCTTCCGCCGGGTCCAAAATTCTTACATCAATTTAGATTGTCAAAAATACTATTACTTAGCCAATTTTCCCGACAAATTTTGAAAATTGCATGTTGTTTCGCGTAACGACTTCTTAGAATAGGCCGTTATATGGGAAGTGCTCGAAAAAGTGGATCGATTCGAACCATTTTCGTCTTTGGGACAAAACACATCACTGTACCAAATTTCATCAAAATATCTCAAAAATGGCCACCTGTGGCTTGAACACAAATTTATAGGCGGACAGACGGACAGACAGGCTTAGACCATTTCTGATTATGATTTTGAATCGATCGGTACAATAAACGGTGGTTCTTTCTTAAACTTCTTATATAGTAAGGATATCAAAACGTGAATTGCCGTAGTCCAAATATAGTCAAATTAATTTTCTGCCGCAAGACCTATTTATATTGCACCTACTTTCGTCAGTCATAAAAATTAAACGTTTGTTGCCAAGGTGAAAAATAGAACTATTAGGTCCAAGTTCGTGGCAGATAATTTTTATCTCAAATTGTTGTCTTGACTCAATCAACATCATACAATATTTATTTTCCTATACAGAGTTTTTTGTCTGTGGTCAGTTAGAAGTTAAAAAAATAATTGGTTCATATGGGAGAGAGTTGAAGAAATAGACTCATCCAAATTTTCAAATTTTGCGTCTCAATTAAAGATGTATGTGCGAAATGATCGTAAAAATTATCTGATTTAACCACGTAGTGTTTGTCCCTACGTCCAAACACATCGATGTATCATACGCCATAGAAGTATCGAAGAAGTTAAACACAAAAGTGCATTCTGTAGGCGAAGCGTTAGGGCGACATACTGACGGAAAGATGGCCAGACAAGCTTAATTAATTCGGTAAACGACCAGGATATAAATCAATAAGTGTAATCAAAGGTGAATGTACATATAACACAAGTATAAACACATCCCGACCGGCGGGTGGTGTAGGGTAAAAAAAATCGTATGGTACACCAAAAAATGATTCCGTTTCATGTGCGGCTTGAATGCAGTGTGGCCTAGCATTGCGGATTGAAGATTTGATTCATTCCCCTTTAATTCCATTTAAAAGTTTATTATTAACGGTTTGATCTGATTCCATTTCTTCTTTTCTTTTTGCTTTTATACAGATCTCTTTGGTCTTATTTGAGTTCGTTGAAGCCTTCAGAATGGTGGGTATAACGGTGGAACCAAAAGGTGGCCAAGCGTGGACATCAAATAATCCCATGATTAAATACATGTTGAAACAACGTGAACATCATGCTGGCAATCAAAAGCAAGACTATTCACATGTATTTCGTAAGCGTACAAGATTTGAGATGTTTCGCTTGGCAGCCATAGCGATGGCCATAGAATTTGCTTACGCAGCCGAGACCTCATTTGTGTCCCCGATATTGCTGCAGATCGGCATCGATCACAAACATATGACCATGGCTTGGGGATTGTCACCTTTGATTGGTTTCTTTGTCTCGCCTCTATTAGGCTCCATAAGTGATCGTTGTCATTTAAAATGGGGCCGACGGAGACCAATCATTAGCTTACTCTCATTTGGCATATTGTTGGGTCTGATTCTGGTGCCTTTCGGTAAAGATTTGGGAGTTTTGCTGGGCGATGACAGTTTTAATGTCACTACGACGCTAATACAAAGCAATTTTTCGGCCCAAGAAGTTAGTGCTGCAGCTTTGAATAGCTCTTCAGACGGCCTGGGTACATTCTCTAGTCATAAATTTGCTGTAGCCCTCACCATACTAGGAATGGTTTTGCTAGATTTCGATGCTGATACCTGTCAAACGCCCGCACGCACGTACCTTTTAGATATGTGCGTACCCGAGGATCAATCGAAAGCTTTAACAATGTTTACTTTATTTGCCGGAGTAGGCGGAACTATTGGCTATGCGATCGGTGGAGTTGATTGGGAAACCACACAGATTGGTAAGTTGAAAGTACGCTTCCATTTTGCTTCAACTTCTTAAAGCATACTTTCATTTTCGAGGTTCTTTTCTGGGTGGTAATGTGCAGACAGTATTCGGTTTGGTCACTATTATATTTATTGTATGCTACTTGATAACGGTGACCACATTCCGTGAGATTCCTCTAGAACTGATCGAACGTGATGAATTGCTGAGACCTCTTTCCGATGCAGCGATTAAAAAGGAAATATTAAAAAATAAATCTGGAGTCTATTACATAAAAGAGGTAAGAAAAAAATATTACATTTTTTTATCCATCCCTATACAGACATTATTACTAGGAATTCTGTTAATTTTTTTAAATCAGACGTAACCATATACAGTAGAGATTAAGCAAATCAGCATGAAACATATGATGATGAGATTCTAAAATTTTGAGCTTATGTACTCCGTACAGTGCAAGCTGCTTGCTATTATGATTTCCTAAAAATGCAATGAATAAATGTAGCAAGTCCCTGAACGGGGTCTAGGCAGTTACGCGGCACAACGCTGTATTGGTTGTTAGGGGGATTTTATACGGCCTAATTTCTATAAGGTGGACTGTAAGTGCAGAGAAGAAAAGAAGTTCAAACCTTTTACACATTTAGGTTGCGAAGAAGCAAAAATGATACGTTACGTTAGGATCGAGCGTATGCAGGGACGTGGTTCCAATTTTCCTACTTCCTTTCGTCTACAATTCCGGACAGTAGTTGAAATAAGTTGAACTATATAAAATTTATCAGTGTGAAGAACTGTGTTTTCTTCCCAACGTACTCCTTCTACAAGTTAGCCAAGGTATTACCCATCGTTAGGGCTAACGAAAAAGTTTGATTGAATAATATCTAACGCACGGGACGACGATGGCAGGCACGTTAATTACGTTGTCCAGCCAAAGCAGATGGTCTCGTTTGCACAAAATGTTTCGATTTGTTCTCCATTGTTGGAATTTCCGTCTTTACTGCTTTAGTCCTTTTTCACTATTTTTTTTTTTTTTGCCGTCTTTAACTCTTTTAACAATTCCCGCGATGGTTTTTTATGTTCTTTCTTTTCTCATTTTCTTTTCAGACAAGTTCTCTAGAGTTGCATTCATCCGATGATTATCAAAAATACACCAACACGTATATGCAAAGTTATCAAAATGGTCATGCGGCAGGTTTGCCGGAAAAAAAAGATTTGGAATTATTGAGCGGTGACGTATGCGATAAGCCTGTCTCATTAGGTCAATATTTGAAAAGTATTTTTATAATGCCGCACTCCATGAAAATCTTAGCCTTAACGAATTTATTCTGTTGGATGGGTCATGTCGCTTATTGCTTGTATTTTACCGATTTTGTGGGTGAAGCTGTTTTCAATGGAGATCCCACGGTGAGCAGACGATTCTTATAAATTAATTAAATTATTTAATTAATTTTCTCATTTTAGGCTGAACCTGAATCCGAAAGTTTTAAACTGTACGAAGCTGGTGTACGTTTCGGTTGTTGGGGTTTATCAATTTACGCTTTATCCTGTTCCTTGTATTCAGTATCAGTTACAAAACTAATGGCTTGGATAGGGTATACAATTTATAGAACGCAAAGAGTTATATGAAATTTTTATTATTCTCTCTTTATTTAGAACGAAAGCAGTTTATATTATCGGTATACTTTACTATGGTGTGGGTATGTTGATCTTAGGTATTTGGCCCACAAAATGGGGTGTTTTAGTTTTCAGCACTTCAGCTGGTATCCTTTATGGTACTCTCTTTACTATGCCATACATATTAGTAGCTAATTATCATGCGAAAAATTGCGTAAGAATGATTTTTTGCACTTTAATATACGCTGTCCTTACATTCGTTCTTGTTTCTTTTCAGTTTCGAATTCATAATGGCGAGACTGTACCTTTGAAGCAAGTTCGTGGTCTAGGTACAGATGTGGCTATCATTAGTAGCATGGTTTTCATAGCTCAACTTATTGTGTCGTTGTGTATGGGTCCGATTATTTCATGGATGCAAACAACTTGTGCCATTTTATATGCTTCAGCATTTTTAGCTTTCATTGCTGCTGTTTCGGCTATGTTCGTTTTATATGTTTAATATTTAAGAGAAGATAGATATAACGAGAATAATGCGTAACTCTAACGCTTCATAGACTCAATCAATTTTAGATTTTAAATATTTTTTTTTTTTTTTAAATTTAAGAATAAATAAGTTTAATATTAACGATTGTAGTTAAATTTCATTTGAAGTGAATGCCAATGCATTTTCATAACGAATATTTCATGGGTCGTTGGTCAGCGAAATTAGAAAATCGATTCAGGCAACTAAGCCGATATACTGGCTACTAGATATCGAAATTTTTGTTGTTATTTTTGTACAGGAAAATTTAAAACAATGTTTTGATTTCTGTTTCTGTTTGTTCATCAAAACACAAACAATTTCGTTTAGTAAATTTCTACAACGAATTTAACAAGTTTTTAATAAAATTTCCAAAAAATATTCTTGATTCTACTTAGAAGAAAGCTGATAATTTCATTTTCTTATTGCAAAAATTATTATTCAAGTCATCATCTAAACTCAAGAGCAGTGAAATTCTTTGAGTGATTTGGTGATGCATACGCTGGATATAGCAAATAAATAAACTTTCATTCAAATTCTGCAAGGTGAACTTTTTCTTTTTTTGTAGACTAATAGTAGTAAATCTTTTGCATTCGATCTCTTATATAGTTGGAGAATAGGTAAGTTTCTTGCTCTTTAAATTTCGTGACTTGACGCTACATAGAAATACCTTTTAGGGTCCTAGCAGTCAGTTGCTTACATGCCATTTTTTTCCAATTCTTGTGTGTACATGTGTGTATGTATTAGGTGTACGAGCTGAAATTCGGTTTCATTTTAAAGCATATTCATTGTAAAGACTGCGGAATAGTTATTGATCCATTTCAGCATATCTCCAACTCTGCACAATCCCTGGTCGGCTAAATGTGATTCCATCGATCTGAACCAGTGCTGATCATAACTAAACGAGTCTACGCCGGGAACAGGAAATGTTCGCAGATAAAATTGAAGATTAGTTTCTAGCTTCTTTTTGTTGAAGACGGATGAAAAACTTTATCTTTTTAAGCTGAAAATTTTGGCACGAAATCTCGCAAACCGCTTTCTAATTGTTTTATAGCTTACTGCATTTTCACTCAAATCTCACTTAATCATTTCCTTAGCTTCGACTGTATATTTTTCCAGTTTCTCCGGTTCAAAGCAGAAAAAGGCCCAGTGCCGCAAATAACATTTATCTCTTTACACTTTGATATACATTGAACGACTGAAACTTATACCGTATAAATGCCAATGTCTAAACTATGTGTATTTACAAGGGACAAGGGTCAATTGGACCCTTTCAAGTACGTTTTTGTGATTAAACTTTGACAGTTAGTTTAAAACCGCAGTAAGTTTTTTTTGTAACAACTAAAATTCAACTAAAATTGCTTCAGAAGTCATACGTCATAGGTCACATTGTTACGTCTACGTTACAACGTGATGATGCGTTTTTAAGCGTCGTATCGAATAAGTCGAATAAGAGTAAAATTATTGCCAATAAATTTTGCGCCTAACTCTATCGACGATAAGTTCAAAAAATAGGGAGAATTTTAAATTACACTCACTTTACATTGCCAATGGATTTTTCTTTTCTTTTTTTTTTTTGGTTTCCTGCTAGTAAACCCTAGCAGGTTTTTAATCTATAAATTAGCGAGTGTTGCATGAATGTTGTTGTTGTCGGCTACTTTTCAAAGCTAATGAACAAAATTTGTATGAAATTCTATGCGAAAAATTGGATTTGCTTGTGCAGATGAATTGCAAACGCAAAGGAATTTTTACGATGATGAAACAATCGCACAATCAAAGGCTGACATGTTGTGCAAGATGGTACAAAGTAACCACACGAGAACAAATCAAAGTCGTATTGGCTATTCTCTGCGATCATAAACGTGATGATGTTGACGGGAGTTGTTTTCAAAGAGTCAAGCGGTTAGTATGAAATGTAATCTATGTCTTTAGCATGATTGTATGCGTGAGTCTATTCAATCAATTCGCTCAGATTTATATTTTTTGCATTGCGATAGTAGGACTTCGAATAATGCCGTTCGTCGAACACAGCGACTCCCCTTCGGATAATGTTTTTCTTTTCTTTCCTCAGGGTCAGCTTTGAGCCATTAAAAAAAGTTCGCTGCCTCGTTTGAAAAACGCTCTAACTTTTAATAAGGCAAACAATTTTAATATTTGTCAGATTTTATTGATGGTTAGACTGTCATTATGTTGAGAATTCATATTCATGGCCTGTTCAGTTTTCAATACAACTTTTTTTAGTAAAGTTTTTAAAAATATCTTCATAACCTTTGTAGCTAAGTTTGATCCATATTTTGCTGATCAAATTTAGAGTACAACTAATTACTTCAAAGGCTTAAGTAAATATGTGACAGATAAAGATTTTTGGAAAAAATTTGTCTAATGCAAATGTTTAGCTCAAGGATATCAGGGAAGAACGAACTTTTCTAATCGACTAAGATTATCAAATTCAATTCAAACCGATCGATTACAAAATCTTGTACTTAGAAAAGAAATAACAGCAGAGTTTACAGTCATTACTTTTACTACGGACGGAGAAAGTTCATAATAACAGAGCAAGCAATTAACAGAACGCAATGGAAATTAATTTTTTTTTTTGTTTGTTGTCGTTATTTGCTATTAAGTCTAAAGGCGGTTTTTTGTTTTATTAGAGAGCGTGTCCGGGTACAAAAACATTCCATAAATGCGGCGGCAATAAGTATCTTTATTGCGCTTTTGAATTCGACCCCTTTATTTGTCCTTGTGCACAAAGCTTGTACGTAGCATACCCGAAAAGATTGCTGCGGTGATTACAGCAAAAATAGGCGGATCCAGTCAATATTAATTAAAACTTTATTTTTTACTCAACGTACATTGATAGGGACAACAAAACTACTTTTACATTTCATTCCGAATGTAGCCGATGCAGTGACTTGTAGGGTGCCTAAAATTTTTGGCCAAAGCTGCCAAAAGTTGCTGCTATTTTGTGCAACTTCCCGCGATCACGTGAATTATTGTACACGGCACATTGCTTATTAAGTTCACAAGATTAGTTCTATTGAATATATTTTAATATATCAAATATAATAATAATAAATTGATTCAAGATATTTTGTTTCTATAATGGGAGTTTTTAAGTTATAAAAAAATTCCTTTATAGTTCATCATAGAATATTTTCACCGAAATTTTATATGAAGCGTGTTTGTGAACGTAAATAAAATTTAGGTTTCTTTAATATGAAATAAACCACGAAACGAAAACAACATGCGTTTGATATCTACATAAGTTTAGTTTTTGTTTTCTGCATACACACTCGTAGGTATATCCATATTGCTGTTATTGATGACAGACACACCAGAAGTTTT